CTGATCTTGGATTGGTCGGTGATACCCGACATTCATGTGAGCGGGGCTACCCGAAATCCAATTTTTTTGTAAATTTGTAATTACTCGAACAATTTTTCACATATAAACTTCTTTCTTTGTGCAAATTAAACTTAAGACTACATGCTTTAATGCTGTATGTATAGAAAAAATTATTTTTTTAGTATTAAACTGAAGTTTAATCGAAACATTAAACCAGTTTTTCTTAATTTCATGACTACTATATTCAACATATTTTCAAAACTATTGTTTACTATGTTAATTGCTGCATAAATACTTGAAACTTTGAAAATAATCTTTTTTTAATATAACAATTAATGTCTGATGGCTCTTTGACTTGAAAAAAATTCTATACATATGAAATTGACAGTGGGCGGGGGTACCCGCTGGGCGGGACTACCCGACTCTCCCCTATGTATAAAGAACGCAAGAAACTTTCACAAATTTTTCTCATTTTCCCAGAGCTTTTTACATAAAGCAGAATATTAAGAGCGATAATTTAAAATCTTTTCTTAAAATTACCATACTGTAAAAAAAGGGTTTAATTCTGTAATAAAAAAATTTTTTAGTGTATAATTTGCCTTTTTATTTGCATACAATATGGCAGATCACGGCGTTTTGAAGTGCTCTTTGGATTGGCAGTTTGGCGTTTAACACTATATATCGCAAGGACATTCTCTTCAAAGGGAATCAAGTTTCTAATACATTTCTGCGGATTTGCATGGGTGCACTCTATTATGCCCCATGTGTGACCCTTAATTTGTCTATAATTTTGTGTCTTGGTGTTGTAGTTTAATACGCTATAACGAAATCGCTCATGGGCAGCAATAGTGGCACAACTAAAAGAAATTAAGTTTTGAGATAAGTGCGTTTAAAGTTTTCATTACTAAGCAAAATGCATAAGAAATGTTTCAGCTTGCTTAAACAAAGATTACCTTCAAGTTGAATTATGAGTTGTGCAAGTATTGCTGCTGAAATAATGTGCATTTTCATATTTACATCCGTTCTTAGTCCAAAACGCGTGCTTTTTGAGGTGTACCACTATTGCAGCCATGAGCGATATGTTTGATCGATTCAAAATTATAGGTTAAAAGGACAGTTTCTCTTCCCTAAGAAAAGGAAAAGTGGTTTTACAAAGTATTTCTGCATATCATATATTCATATTATAATATCATAAATATTTATAATTGGATCCAATGTTAAGGCGTAGTACTTTTTTATAATTATAATGGTACTTGATAGAAAAAAAATATCGTCATGATATGATATGAAATGCATACTATCACTTTTTACTAGTAAATAATATTAAATTAGATATATGTCTTACTCTATTTATAAATAAAACATACTTTGAACTTGACACATATTTTATTTTCTTTAGAAAACAAATATACAGATGTTAAGGATATCACAGCAATATTATTATTTAAGTATCAAATTCTTGATTAACAATTTTCAGACATTGAAAAAATAACAGTAATATAATTATTCAAATGTCAAATTTTTGATCATCAGTTTGCAGTTTTTAATGTGTCACAGCAAAATAGTTATTTGAATGTCGAATTCGTGATAAACAGTTTGCATTCGATAAATCAATACAACGATAAAGTTATTTGATGTCAAATTCCAACAAATTATGCAGGTGTTGAAGACTTGCAGTGATAAAATTATTCGAATGTCAAATTCTTGATAAACAGTTTTGAGTAGTTAAAGCGTCACAATAATTCAGTTATTTGAATATTCAATTCTTGAGAAACTGTTTACAGTTGTCGACAGGTAACAGCAATATATTTCCTTGATTGTCAAACTCTTGAAAAATAATTTACAGATTTTGAAGAGTCACAACAATATAGATATTTGGACGTCAAATTCTAGATACATAGTTCTTAGTTATCAAAGATTCACGGCAATATAAATATTTGAATGGCCAATTCTTGATAAACAGTTCGCAGTTGTTAAAGCGTCACAGCATATGGTTATTAGAAAATTAAATTCTTGATAAATAATTTACAGATGTGGAAGCGTCACATCAGTGTAATTATTTGAATGTCAGACTCTTGATAAATAATTTGCAGATGTTAAAGAGTCACAATAATGTAATTACTTGAAAGACGAGTTTGGGAAAAATAATTCATAGTTGTTAAAGAGTCACAGTTGTGTTATGTTTGAAAGTCATGTTCTATAGGAAGAGAGATTTACAACTTTTTAGGTGTTATAGTCGTGATTTACTTCCAGACCAGTCGTGATTTATTTCCTTTTGAACAATTTTCTGAACATTCTAGAGAAGAAACAAAAGCATCCCTGCTCTTCTTGTTCAGATTGTTCATTGATTGTTAGTTCAATATCGCTTCGTTCCCAAAAATCTCTTTCCTCTCTTAAAGGACAATCACGACTTTTCAATCTAAAATTTAAAAATAACATTCGCTTTATTAGAAACTCAATGCAATCATGTTTTGTTACAGAAGCTTCTTTTTCAAATAAAAAACTTTTTGTTTAGAGTTAAACGCGTTTAAAATCAGCGAAATTTTCTAATGCACAGATTTCAAAAAAGTCAGTTTAAGCTTTTCAATGGTCAAAACCGTTATCTGACTTACACTGAGAAACAAATTCATGATGGATTTATTAGA